TTAGGGTGAATGGGGTTAAGGGTTTAGGGTTTAGGGTTTAGGGTTTAGGGTTTAGGCTCCTTCAGCTCCCGGCTGCGTTGGGGACTCCGGACCACCCAGAGGCAGTGGCCCTGGCTGGGTACTGGTACGACGTGAATCCAATCAAACCACACCTCGCCAGTGACATAGCCGGTTTAGGGTTTAGGGTTTAGGGTTTAGGGCTTAGGGCTTAGGGTTTAGGGTTTAGGGTTTAGGGTTTAGGGCTTAGGGCCTAAACCCTGAACCCCACACCTCGCCAGTGACATAGCCGGTGGCATCCCACATCTTCTGCGTTCTGGCTGTTTGTGAGGTTTCCGGACCATCGTAGCAGTACCGGAATTCCTTGCACACCGAAGTAGGCCTTGGCTCGAAGACACCCTGCCCCAGGATTGCTGCAGTCAGCTTCACCGGACCCCTCTTCGCCTTTTCCTGGGCGCGTGCTTCAGGAACTTACTGCAACTTTCAGCTACCACAAGAAGGAAACCCTATCATTTACTATACAGCTTAACTTTCAGTTACCGCAAGAAGGAAACCCTATCATCTACCATACATCCTCCACACCCTGGTAGCTTTAAACCCTAAACCCTAAACCCTAAACCCCTAAACCCTAAACCCTAAACCCTAAACCCTAAACCCTAAACCCTAAACATATGGTAGCTTTAAAAGCAGGTTCCTTAACGAGAGCCCCGCTTCCTTGTCGGAGAGAGCTTCGGAGGCCTTGTCAGCGGCCTTTTTGGAGAGGTCCACGGTATCCACCACATTCCTGGGTAGTAGGTTTAGGGTTTAGGGTTTAGGGTTTAGGGTTTAAGGTGTATGGATGTTTAGGGTTTAGGGTTCAGGCTTTAAGGGAATAGGTACTCTATAGGAACCACACTAAGAAGGAAATTAAAGAGCTTCCCAGAGTGCCGCCTAGATTCTCATTGATCAGTTCATTTGCATCGGCCGACCCCCACGCAAACGAGATCGCCTTGCCGACGAGCAGCTTCGCGATCTTCAGCCTGAACAGGGTTTAGGGTTTAGAGTTTAGGGAGGGTTTAGGGTTTAGGGTTTAGGGCTTAGCAGCGATCTTCAGCCTGAACCCTGACATGATCTTGTTGTACTCGTCATTCGGCTGAGCAGGCTTCAAGGTTCCGTGCGGAATCAAAGATGGGCACTTCCTCTCCCTCCGAGCATCGCCAGAAACCTTGTCGCCACCATTTCCTGGGCTCTTCTTCGGGAAATCAACTGAGGTTACCATAATAAGCAAAGGAACTCCTGTTGTTTACTATACATCCCCAAACTGAGTGCCCCCTAAACCCTAAACTTCATTCCTACACTCTAAACCCTACATTGGACTCAAAACAAGTTCCGAAAGAAGCACCCAGCGTCCGTCAGACCCGAAAATATCGAACGTGGGCAAGCAGGTCATATCACCTGCCCAACAGCACTCGCCGGGCTTACCGTAGCCACCGGAATAGAACCAGAAGGGCCGGTCTACTCCTCGTACATTCTTCCAAGTGGCGCACACGCCCTCAAGGACCCCCTGCTTGCAACAGCAGCTCCCCTTCACTTCCTCCCAGGTGTCCGGAACCTCCACCGTTCCTTCGGGGGTACCTTGGTACGGGCAGCTCGCCGCCTGGTTCTCGGAGGAAACTTCCGTCCCGGCGTTGTCGTGGTCTCCGGTAGCGCTGCAGGACCAACCGCTGGTCCAACAGCACTTTGCTTTGAGAATTCCGCCTCTGGCCGGGTAGTACCAGAAGGGCCGGTCACTCCTGAACGTTTTCAAAGCTTGGCAGTATGGGTAAATCTGCTTGGTGTCATGGAACTCGAAATTGTCGCCGAACTCTTTGCAACAGCAAACATCCTTGTTTGAAGACTAGTCCAGTATCCACGGAACTGAAGGTAAACATTCAGGATTATGTCAGGTGTTGTGTCCCGAAAAGCACCCTAAAAACCGCAACAAAAAACAGTATGTTTGATAATCCCCTGAAGTTTCTTGCAATCAATTCATCGATTCCTCAAAACACTACCAAAAAAGTCTAAAGGTTATCTGCTCTATTACAAAGCATCCGAGCGAGAGGTGTTGTAGTCCACAGATGGGCGCAAGCCATGAATCCTGGGCACTGCCCACATCACGGCGACCCACCAGGCACACGGAAGGCTCATCCTGAGAGCACCGAACTGTTGTCCGGGAGAGGCCTAAGAATCTTAGATGTTCGCAGATCACAAGCGATCCTTGCTAACTTGATGCAGTCGGCTGCGGGTGCGAAGGATGCAAAGGGCATCAAATTCAACTTCGAGTCGTGTCTCTTCTGGGTCTCCGGGTTCAACTCGGAAGCTGAGCTAGAATTTAAGTTCAAAGGTCCCCCAAGGGAAATGCACCTGGAAGGAACGGAATCACGAACTGACTGAAACTCACAAGACCGTCCGTAATTCGCGCTGCGGCAGCAATCCACAAACTGAGGACATCTTGTTCGGTGAAGTCCTCGGGGTCCTCGGGCCCTGCAGCGTAGGAATGAGAGGGGTGAGGGGGTCCTCCACCGATTCCAGCAGAGAGGCAAGCCCAGCCTCCCAGTGAAATTGGGGGGTCGTGGTGCGCTGGGGCAACCAATGCTGTGCAGCTCAGCCGCAAGCTCCGGGTCCTACCGTGGGCTTGCCATCCGCACAGTAAGTGGCATAGGGCATGGTGACGCTGCAGCTTGGCGGGACCGGCAGCGAGGCGCGCCCAAGGTGAGAGGTGGCATGGACCGCCATCCGCTGCAAGTTGGCAGAGAAACAAAGGATTGGCAGTGCTAGCACAAAGCCGCTGGCTGAGGGTGGCCAGGCATACGCTGCGGAACTGTCTAGCGCAGCCCGCATGCTGCATATCTTGCGCCGGTGATGCTCCGACATTACACCATGCGGGGGAGCCTCCCTCCACGTCCTGTGTGCTGCCGTACCCGGTGGACACTCCAAGTGCCCTCGTCCCTCAGCTCTAACGTCGCCATTGTGGGGCGAGAGGTTAAAAACGACAGGCAGGAAAGGTTTCGCCCTTCCGGTCGGCAAGGACTGTATCAGGCTGTCGTATGAGCAATTCTGCATGAAGAGGAGGTGTGTCCTCCTTCTCGGAAGGTTTTTTTTGCTGGTGCAGGCCTCAATGACAGCGTCAGCTGCACTCGGTCCCTACGAAGCCATCAAACAACAAGCAAACAAAACCGGCGGCGAAACAAGAGCCATCTACAAGCTACTGCGGGTTTGCAAACTACGAAGCTAGCCCGTTCAGAGACTACTATTCAAAGCGGCCCACATCGACATGCAGAAACGACAAAGAGCCGGCGCTCTGAGCCGCCCGAAGCAGCGGTGGATTCCCCAAGAAGAAGTCTCCGGCCGTCGTTCTAGTCCCGTCGAAGCCACCCACATGAAAGGCAAGGGGCGGAAGCTGGCAGTGATGGCAGTTATGTCAGTGACAAAGGCAGCGTTCTCGCTAACTCACCGCAACGTTCACCGACAGTCGCATCCAAGACAGAAGCTGAGGGACAGCGAACAAAGACAAAGCAGAGCCCAAACCCAAAGCCGAAGAAGTCTCGCGAACTGCAACCTTGCAACAAAGGGCACTGCCCGAAGCAAGCTTCTGGAAGGAGAGACTCGAAGCTTTCCACGAACACTGCTGGACAAGTCAATCCGGACAGAGCCAAACCAACCAAAAAGCTAATAGCAACCTCAAGGCAAACCCGTGCAAGAAGGCTGTTGCATCACTACGACTCGGCGGCCTTGTTTGCAAGCTGGATTGAGGCATGTCCTAAAGCAAGGAAACTGTCGAAAACGATGTGAACTCCTTGCGCCCTTGACCTTCAAAACACCTCATCACCTCCTCGAAAGCATACGAGCTTCTATCACCACTCAAGACCAGAAGAACAAAGTTGTCATTTGTAGTCGGGACCAAGGATCCTTTGATCAAAATCGTCCAAAGCGCCCTTGTAATTCTCAAAAGGAAGCAGTAGCTTTTGTAGATCTGAACGGAACGGCCAATTGCCGGAAAACCTTAGGCTTGCTATGTCGTTGATGAGATCGATGAGTGAGAATCTGTCGGTCTAAGCTTCTCGCCTTGCATCAACAGGAACCTGGACTGATCAAGCAATCCTTCGGGACAGACTCGAAGAAAGAACCCTCCATCCAGATGTCTTTCCTCAACTTCTTCCACAATAAAGAATGCATCTTTCTGTGTGTTGCTTGACCTTCGAAATCTCCATCAGCTGTGAAATATCGATTCTAGCTGGCTTAAGCTGAGCATCTAACACACCAGTAATCGGATATCTCCTGTCAGAGTCGCACCTTATGAGCTTCCGAACCACTCCAGAGGTCATCGTATTGATGTTGAATGTCTTCTCAGCATTTTCTTGAAAAGGAGAAAACGCTTGGATGGAATCTGCAATGTTTCGACATGCCTTTCAGCTTGGCCTCCTTCTTTTGGAGAAAGCGTTTTACGTGTATTTAATTTTCTTTGCTCAAAGCTTGAAAGCAAGTACAAGTACCAAACATTTCCAGCTCATAGATTGTGGTTTGTTCCTTCTGAGCTGAGCGTGTCTGCTTGTTGCTCGAACTACGATCATGCAGATTCACTTCCGGTCAACAATACGCCACCCAATCCTCCCGCGCGGGTTTCTCAAAGACGGCATCAGTGAGAAGCATAAAGTCCACATGAAACCTGGCCGACCAGCTCTCGGTTGAGCCGCACTCAGAAACTTTTCAAAGCCCAGTGCGGTAATCTCCAGAAGGAAGAGCTAGTCAAACGATCGGCCAGAAGAGCCAAAGATTGGAGCCAGACAACAAGAATGAAAAATTTTCTTATCACACAACAAGAAGAAAACACACGAAATCGCTTTACAGGGCTTGAAACCGATCAAAAACGAATTGAACACAAAATGAAATGGCTTGCTTCCACACGCAGGCGAAGAAAGCAAAAACCTTTTCGAAACAAGCAGACGCAATCTTTTGGAGCTGCGCAAGTGTGGATGACTGACAGGCACATTTAAAGCTGTCACCAATTTATCAGCATGCAGCCTGCAGGCCACTTGCAATCGAAGTTTGTGCGGATGCCCAGTCTGGATCAGATACACCTGCATTCTTTTAAAAACTTCAGAGCGCTAACTCTGGCATAGTCGGAGAGCTGATTGAAGGAGACTTGAAGGGAGACGAGGTCTGGGCAGACAAAGAATTCTTTGGAATCTTCATTTGTGGTGTCGTCGCGTTTCCATTTTATCGAATTAGATAAAATCGCATCCAGGTGTCGGCACAGTCCTTCTGTAGCCACTTTCATTTCTCCATTGTGGGTTTACTCGGCATTTCTCGGCTCCGTCCAAGAAAGCTCTTTCAGACAAATGTCTGTGGCCTCAATTTATTCTCTTGTGCAAAACACATCATGTGCAATCATTTACTTGCAAAAACAATCTCAATCTGTCATTCAAGACATCTTCCAACGATATATAAAGTCAATCATTCAGTAAATATGCAGAAACGCAGGACCTACTCTCCAAAAGGAAATGCCACGATGCCTTGAGTTCACCTTCTTCTCAGCATGGTTGCTCGGAAGTTACCCCCAGGTCACTACGCACTACGCGGGCACTACGGTCTACGCATGATTTAAAAATGTCGTTTGAAGACCTACAAAGACTCGACACAGACTGCAGTCTTCATCATAAAGACTCGAAAAGACAAAGTCAATCTCCAAGTCTCTATAAGGTCACTACAGTCACTTCGTGGTCACTACGCGGCACTACGGCGGTGGTCACTACGCGGTTACTACGGGAGCAGTCTCAACAGTCAGAAGGGCTCAAATGATGTAGACTTGTGTGGTTGAGAGCCTCGTGAATCATTGCTTCTGAACTGCGTTCCCGTCCTGCGCCTTTGCGACCAAATTTTGATCAAAATTCTGGTCTCGGCGCGGGACGGTCACTGCGCTGAATGTAAAAGCGGTGGAACGGGAAAGCCAAGTTCCATTATTCCGCGACATGAGATTCATGAGCATGTCTGTAAGCTTGAGGTGTGTATGCGGCAAGAGCCCACATATTTTCCATGATGCTTTCTAAATATGATATTTCCGAGCATCAAACGTGACGGCCTGGTCATCCATGTCAATCCAGCTTCCACGTAGCAGTTTTTGACCGCTTTTGTTTCCAGCAATGCAATTGCTCGTTTTCATCTTGAACCC